TGGTTGACCTGGGCCTCTGTTCAAAAAGCTGTGCAGAACAGCAAGAAGTGGTCGACAATTTGCAGCTGTTGCGACACTGCGCAACGGCGTGCCAAAGGTGCATGCGAATGCCTCTTGCATCATTGTAACAACAATAGCGACCACAGCAATCACAAAGGGTGGGGCACACAGCCTGATTGTTGGCGCTCTGTCCTGTCCAGGTCAGGCAAGGACAGCGCCATGATGAGCAAAGCCCAACGAACGTGGATGGCTATTGGGTGACCTCCTCCATGGTTGCCCATTCATGGCAAAGGTTCTTGAATAAGGAGGGAGGGCTGCCGTCTTAGGAGTCTTGTAGCCGGTGAGCCAGGATCATGGTGTCAAGTCAGGAGAATCTCCTCACCCAGTGTTCTGGAGCGGACGGAGGCATGTGGGCACATTGGAGGCTGCCCGGAATTGGAGGCTCCCGATGGACAGTGCAAGGTGGCATTGCTGGCAGAGGTGGGATTCAAATCGGGCATGCGTCAGCTATGGGTGAAGTGCTGAAGGTTGTGATCAGGATGATGAAGAGCGTGGTGCCGCCAATCCAATGCCAGGCCAAGTTGCCTCAGCACTGGGCAGTTGAAGCCCTGCCGGCAGTAGTGACATATGGATTGAACACATGCTCTGGTCATAGGGGAAGTACCTCACCAATGCAGCCTCTGCTCTGTACAGGATGTCCAGAAGGCACACAAGACATCTGTGTGTCAATAAGTTGCACAGACCATGATCATCACCTAGAAGTTCAAGGTCTCTAGCGTGAAAATTATTGAAAATTGCTAAAGGGCTGTCATCGACAACTTTCAAGGACCGTACAGCTGGAGGTTCCTTAGTGTGTTCAAAGAGCGGAGAGGAAAGTTGGGAGAAATGGTGTGCAGCTGCTGAACGAGTCCCCACAGTGATCATCATCATCATCATCATCATCAGATCATCAGCCGCAGCCAAATGAACACGCTTCTTCCACAGCCAAGTGGCCCCGTGGGAGGCATGTCAGAGAATGCCATCAAGTAGTTGCTGATGGTCAGGACGCAGTTGTCATACCTTGGAAACGAACTCCGCAGGCCCTTGGAAAGGTGCCTTCTATATCTCATTTGCGCTTCCTTGGCATCTTTCAGGTGCCAAAAATCATAAGATTCCTCATCTTTCCCAAAAGAACCAACTGCTGCCAATCTCAAAAGTGTTGCAGGTGGTGTGAGGGTGACATACCATGTGTCTGTAAAAATTTCGAGATTTGGAACTCCCTCACCACCCGGCTAGACGGTTCCTCTGTATCCTTCTCACATTGAATGAATGGAGTTTGCCTTTTCCCGGAAGTTCAGGCCCAGACTCCCGTACGACATTGAAGAAGAATGAACAAGATTTTGAGCAAAGACTTTCTTTGGACAGGCTGTGTCAAGTACGCAGTTCTTCACATATGGACTTGGCCTCATATTTCACCGCCTTCAATTAGGCAAGCAGTGTGACATACAGCAACTCTTGTACCCAGCCCCAACCTCTGGCTCGCTCAACACACCTGCAATTTCATGTTCGGGGCAAAGGAATCTGCTTGAGCAATCCCCTGACCAAACATGACCTTATGGGTTGCTCAACGCCAAAACGTGGGGCTGGTGTCGTATGTCACATTCATTCAAGCTTCACTTCTCATGCCCTAATGCCAAGTAAGCTTACCTTTGACAAACCAACACAAACGACCAAGAGATGAAAAACGTACCTATTCAACTTTTTCAACCAGTGCTGAAGTTCCAACTGCATTCTGAAAGCATTGCCTGAAACACGTGGCGTGCGACCAGTCTCACAAAGTGTTAGAGGCTGTCCCACGCTGGCGACATGATCCTTTGACGTTCAAAAGGCATCCAAACATCTACCTCAAATACCATAGAAAGCCTCCTAAAGTTGCCTTTCTATCGAAATATCACACCCTCCTTCGCCTCTTCCCCACAAACCATCCAGTTCACACTCCGGTTTTGTTGAGGCCGTAGTTGAACAGGCCTGCGACGGTGGCAAACGTTCGTCTCATTGACGGTCGGACCAGGACCGATGTTGGGGAAAAGATCGTCCAGCGGTCCTTGGACAAATACACACATGACAAGAGTAGATCATGAATTGAACGCACAAAAACAAACAGAACAGCTTGCCGCTTGCCCTTATCATGCATGAAGGTATTCCGTCAGTTTCCTGAGAAAAGGTAAGGTTAATCATTCATTCATCTGTTTTCATTCGTTCTCTTAGGCAGTGGGGAAACGAATCCCCAAAACAAGATCCACAGAGTGGAGAAAAGTATGTGCATGAACACCATTGTTGGAACCCGCACGATTGAAAAGGGTAAACCTGGGCTCTTCTTCGTCCAAAAACCGCTCCACCTTCGGCCCAGTGCTGTTCACTTCGGCGTCAAACACACCCCACAAGTCCACAATGTGTACCGCTGGCCGCATGTACCGGGAACTGGAGCTCTGACTCTCACACTCTGTGATACTCTGTGTAAAACAAGTCATTGAATTCACAACATGCTAAACCCCAAGGGGGATGTTTGGCTGAGTAGGGCTGAATAGCTTCTCCAACCATGATCACCAGCTAGATCAGGCCGGCGTAGGCCTTGACACCTCTTCACAGCCTTCATCCGAACCACTCGGGTACCAAGCCAACCGAACGAACTCCGGTCGGCCTCCCAAAGCAGCATCCTTCTCGAAGCACTCGAGCTCACCAATTCCAGCATCCTCCCGGAAGCAAAAGGCCCCAGCTTGGGGAAGCAAAAGCGAGATGACCGAGGCATTGAGCGTTTCAGTTCCTTTCTCTTGCGGGGATTCCATGGAGTGCCTTTTTGCCGCCTCCAAAGACTCAGTGTTACAGCGAAGATTTGCACTTAAACACATGAGCCATGGTCAAAATTACTTATATGTGATACATGGCCTCTTCTCGTCTAGCATTACTGTACAATATGTTACCAAGGTTGGCTGTTCCCGCTCTGGTCTGCCTTACCAGTGAAAAAGACCTCAATTTACAATGTTTGCACGTGGTTCCTCGAATGCCACTGCCAGTAAACAAGTCTTCAGGCCTATAACAGGTGGGTCCCGAGACGTCCCCCTGCAGTGATTGGTCTGGTCATCGTTCTAGGCACGCTCACACATGGCCACAATTCAAGTAGAGTGGGTCACATAGCCACATAGCTTGTCGTCTTGGGTAAGTCTCCTATGGTTCTACAGGGTTTTGAGCACTTCCACAAAATCAAGGGGGACCGGGGACATCCAAAAATACTGCCCTGCTTTTACAATAACTTTGAGATATTTATGTTGAGCGTACCTCACATGCAGGTATTGGAGGACTTGAAGTGGTATCATCTCCTGCATGCGAGAGCAAGGTTTCAGGTCCTGTAGGGTTGTTAAGAAGGGAGAGAATTGCTGATGACCATGCACGCACACCACGGGTCCATTTTTGGGCCAATAATTCCAAGCAATGCATATATACAGCAGCTGATCAATGCTTTCCTGGCACCACACTCTCCCGCGAGCCAAATAAAGGAGGCACAAGTCAACCCGTCGAGCAAAATCAAACTCTCCGGTCTGTCTAGCTGCCGAGTTGTATCGTTTCGTTTTTAGCTGGCCGGTTGGCTGGCTGATTACGGCCTTGAGTGGGTAGGTACAAGCTTGTTCCGGCGGCTTAAGGATGTTTAAGGCATCGAGCGAAGACTTTTAGAAGAAATCGTACGTGATGCTCAGTGACTGGCGACCATTGCTTGACTGTGGGAGAGTTGGCGACGCCACACATTAGAGTCTACGCCACACATTAGAGTCTGTGCCAGCTACTGCCCACCAAGGTCTCCAATGGCTTGGCCACTGGGTCATACTGGATGCGCATTATATGAAATTCCTGTGCTGAAGTACCTCAAAGGCATCAAAGGAGGCAAACAAGATCAAACGTGCTGATACCGTACCCTGCAATCAATGATACCGTACGTGTCTCTTGTTTCACTTCGATGCCTGATCTTCAGATCTCAGGTATGTAGAGAGTACTGAAGTGGAATCGGTGGGATCAGAATTGGAGCTCACCGTTTTGGAGGGGAAAGGGAGTTGCAAGATTTGATCCAGCAACCCCTCACTTCCGCGGTCCTGACCTGTGTTCCCTTCAAAATGGATTTCCACATAGCACTAAAAAACAAACATTCCACAATTAACCTACAGCCCACCAAAGCCTCATGTAGTTGGTCGAGCTGTGGCCAACTTGGTCTCGCCAACATGGCAAGGTCCTTGGATTCCTTTAAGTACGAATCTTCAACATCAGCCAGCCATGTCAGCAGACTACGATGGACCCTATGCAAGAATTTACGTATATCTATATAAAATCTAAAATTAATTGATGTGGTCAAAAGTAGTTAGGCCGTCTTCCCCTTCCACATCTTCACGAGGTCCTTCATGGTCTTTCTCCTTAGGCAATCATCAACGGCAATCGATTATGACTCCAAATCGAATTTGCCCAAACACTTTGTTAGTGGACAATGAAAATCCTATCTCTGATCCATCCGTTGGATTTTGAGTCACTACTCAGAACAAAAAAACAACGTGCCAGGACCTCAAACCGTCTCAATCAATTCTGACAATCCTACAAGAACCTGGTGGTCTGCTCATGTTCTAGTAGCCTCGTTCATGGCCCAGGGTTAGGTGCGAAATTTCAACGTACCAGCGGACGATATCAGTTTTCGATTCTTAGATTTCAGCTTAGTTTCAGGCCTGGTGGTTCCACGACCGAGAGGTGCTGAACGCACTCCTCCGCTGTGGGCCTCTCACTGGCATTGGCATGCCATGCCCATGGGAGCAGGTCACGAAGTTCCTGTATTCCGACGAACACGTCCAAAGAGGGTCTCGGCTCTTCACCTTCGCGTTGCGAATTGTTTTTTGGTGGTTTTGTGGATGACTAACAACCGTGATCCATGCAAACAAACCCACAAAAGTTTGCAACTGTGGCCTTTTTGGTATGCTTGCAACACCACATCGAGGTCTTTCCCATAGGAGTAGAATGGCCTTGGATGACGTGACATCAGCAAATTCAGCACAACTGAAGGACAGCACCCATCCACACCACAAGCCAAGAGGCTGTCTCCCTGAAAATATAAAATAAAGGATCATGCTGAAAGCATAGATGTCCACTTTTTCATCATAGGCCTCATGGCGAGCCATCTCTGGAGCCATGTAACGCCAGGTCCCAACTCCTCCCGACATCTCCACACCTTCATGGCAGCCGCCACACCTCAACGGCCCAACCGGCCGGAGTAAAGGACATTTTCCACTCAGCAAATCAAAACAGAATCCACCGAAAGGATGTTCTTTCAACCGAAACGGTGTATGGATGGTCAACTCTCAACACAAACACACACATTCGATAGAGTTTCATTCCGAGCGATAATCCACGAAATGCAAGGCACTTGACTGGTTACTTGGTGCAGAACAGAAAAGTGGGGTCAGCGTACTTGTAGGTGTTTCAACAATGGATTCCGGAAAACTAGTTGCTGAGTACTTAGCACTCTTGAATTAATGGCATGCAGAAAAGTCACAGTAGCTCCCAGCAATGACCCCAACTTAAGGTCAGTCATCCAGGGACGCTACACGCCGGTACAGGAAACCGGCCAAGTTTCTACGCCCTTCCACATATGTGGGGTGCTAGAAGGTAGACAGGTATCCACATATCGAAGATAGCACTACGACAAAGTAAGTACCTTTGTACAAAACAAAGTTCAACCCTAGCCCCCGTGCGAAGCACACCTAATTACAAATTATGAATTCCCGGAGCCCGCTCAGTCTTCGATCGAGATGTGCAAAAAAATTTACTCCGATGACATTTTTGATTCTCTGGTAAAGCCCATTGCGTTTGCGAAAAGGAATCTCAGCGTATGGTCAGTGTGCTGGCAGTCCCGGGTGACTTTCGTTTGAAGACATGAAGCCTTGAAGCCTTGAAACCCTGCTGACGACCTGAAGCCTTGAAGACCCGAACCCTGGCGACGACCTGATGCCTTGAAGACCTGAAGCCTGGCGACGACCTGAAGCCTTGAAGACCTGAAGCCTGGTGACGACCTGAAGCCTGACGACCTGAAGCCTTGAAGACCTGAAGCCTGGTGACGACCTGAAGCCTGAAGCCTGGTGACGACCTGAAGCCTTGAAGACCTGAAGCCTAGTGACGACCTGAAGCTTTGAAGACCTGAGGCCTGGTGACGACCTGGAGCCTTGAAGACCTGAAGCCTAGTGACGACCTGAAGCCTTGAAGACCTGAAGCCTCTTCGTGTCTTCGCGTGTCTTCGCGAATCTTCGTGTCTTCGTGTCTTCGCGTGTCTTCGTGTCTTCGCGTATCTTCGTGTCTTCGTATCTTCGTGTCTTCGCGTGTCTTCGTGTCTTCGCGTCTTCGTGTCTTCGTGTCTTCATATCTTCGTGTCGTGTCTTCATATCTTCGCGTCTTCGTGTCTTTGTCTTCGTGTCTTCATATCTTCGCGTCTTCGTGTGTCTTCGTGTCTTCGCGTGTCTTCGTGTCTTCGTGTCTTCGTGTCTTCGCGTGTCTTCGTGTCTTCACGTGTCTTCGTGTCTTCGCGCAAAAGTCACAACCCGCTTCTGCCAACGCAATGCGTATGGTGCTTCAAGAGTATCCTCCTTAGCAATGAAAGGGGTGATCACGCGAACGTGATGTGGGTAACACTGACTTGGCAAGGATGCATAGTCCTGGATGACAGCAACAAACTTTTCAGCATCCGGCGCAATCGGTCGAGACGCAATTCCCCCTACTAAGCTCTTATGAAATCCAAGTCGAATGAGTGAGGCCTGGTTAACATACCTAAAATTAAAAGCCTCTAGCCGCTAGCCAAAAGGCAATCCTAGAAAGAGAAACGAAAAAGCAGGAGAGAAAGAACCGAAACCGAGGACCAGGGAAACGGGCCTCAAGAGCAACGGGGGCCATTCTCCGTAGGCCCGGCGGCTTGTGAATCGGTTGATCCGCGCAAGTCCCTTTTCATTTTGGAAACTTCTGGAACACAAAAGAATATGCAGGCTGCGATAATCCCGGATGGTCTCAGCGCCCCTTGCGGGGATCAGAGTACGCACCCAAGTGGGAAAGTGTAGCAGTACACACTTCGATAGAGTTTCATTCCGAGCGATAATCCACGAAATGCAAGGCACTTGACTGGTTACTTGGTGCAGAACAGAAAAGTGGGGTCAGCGTACTTGTAGGTGTTTCAACAATGGATTCCGCAAAACTAGTTACTGAGTACTTAGCACTCTTGAATTAATGGCACGCAGAAAAGTCACAGTAGCTCCCAGCAATGACCCCAACTTAAGGTCAGTCATCCAGGGACGCTACATGCCGGTACAGGGAACCGGCCAAGTTTCCCTTCCCACTCTCATCCACAGCTTCATTGCGTGTGATAGGATAAGCGTGTCACACGCCCCTGCTGGTTTCCGTTAAATAAATCTGGATCGAGTGGGACCCTTTGGTACAGGGTGGGACACACGCACACAGACTCACACACTTCGAACTTGGGTTTTCAGTTAGACTCAATTGCCACGACGGGAAGGACGGTGATGGAACAGCAAGGTGAAAGGGTCCGGTGACTTG